ATTTCTGCCTTTTGAAAACAACTCAAACCTGAAAAATGTTACAAAATTTCAACACTGTGTTAGAAAAACATTTACACAACTATCAGTGAGGCGTTATGCTGTTATTCTGGCAGAAATATAAAAAAAACACTAGCTCTGTCTCTAATTCATGCTGCAAATAGGGTCATCATTAGCTTAGAATCTAGACCATCATTTGTCGAAGCAAAATCATTTTGCTTTACATGTTTTTCAAGAAATGCTCCACTGAAACCTCTGTAGACCCAGCCAGTATTTTGGCCGGCCAATCACAGCATGTTTATTTAGAAAAACAATGCATCTTTGTCTTCTTTCCTGCTTCTTCCACAATTATGGCGGACTGCCCCATTGACTGACAGCCATAGCGGTCCAATCGCAGCGCTCTATTGGTTTGGCGGGTCAACCATAGCGCTTCGTTGGTGGGCGAGATGTTACTGACAAAACAAAGATGGTGACGGCTCATTAGAAATGACTTTGGCATCAACTTTAGACTATTTAGACTTGGGCTTTTCTTTGACTCAAGAGCAGATAGAGGTACTTAAGTTGATTTGGAAAAAGGATGCATTTGCATCTTTAGCCATTTTTACAAACACCGTGGTGGCATCAGGGAGCCTTAGGTCATAAATAAGTGGTCAGATCGTGGCGAGAATTTGATGCAATTCTGTCCTTTTTCACAAAAGCTTAGGTGATGGCGGCATAAAGGGGGTATGGGGGACTTCTGTTTATCTTGAACATGAATAGCTTTTTATTGTGATCGAATTCGTGCTCATTCGTTTTTTAACAAGCCAAAAAAGGTGTCTGTTCCCACCAGTTCCTATGCCGTCTCTAGTGATCTGACCTCCAGCTCTAACGGTGAGAAGATTCAGTGCTCCAGTTTGCCGTCTCAGCTGATTTTGTTCAAAAATGAAAACTTACTGTCCGTGTTTTCTTTCATTTTCAATGTAGTTGCTGGCCAGAACTTGGCAGTAACTCCCCACGTCATCATGACACCTCAAGGCGCAAACGCCGTTTATGGTGGACAATTATCGCAATATTACTACCGATCGAGGTGGAAGGAATCCCAAAAAATTCGTGCAACACCGTGCCATCGTGGCGCGCTTATAAGACACACCGTTAAGGTCAACACATTCTCACACCCATGCCGATTTGCCTTCATGGTGTGTCATAAAAAGGGCTTCTGATGAAGTATGGTAGACTGCCTTGTTGACTGACATTCGTAGTGGTGAGTATGTCACGTTGTTTGTTATCCAATAGCATGTGGAGACAGTTTCAAAGGCAACCATAGATCCCCCCACCCAGAGCTATCAATGGGCCGTGGCCAGACTATTCACATATATAGGATGGCTTGCCGGCCTACCTCATCATTCATTTAGTGATAAACAATTATGAAATTGTGTTGGCTTAAAAATGACACCTTTCCCATCAGAGACTTTCTTTTTGACAGGAAAGTGTTCCACTTTGTAACCGCCTTCACAGTGACTAGCTGTTTGCATGTCAATCTAGACAGAACAAATCTTTATTTCTTTAGATTGAGGCTGCTCAAGGAGCTATCCACCAACAGGTGTGACATTAATTTAATCTTTGCAAAAAAACAGTACTTTACAAAGTAAAATAATAAAACATTGGTAAAATATTTTAAAAAAAACTTTGTCATTTTATTGCTGGACAACAATAGCTGGCAGTGGTTTGTGAATAATTCAGATTCCAAAAACTATTGAAATGTTTGCTAGAAGTTTCCACGTCCTTGTGTGAGATGCAGAGCCTTGATCTCATGTTGCCGAATTTTTGAACATTTTAAAAACATTTGCAAAGAAAACTGCTGCTCCCCTAAAATCCCTGCGTAGTTCTCCTGTGAATCAGCATCTCAAACTCTTCTCAATCACTCCTGTGTTCAGTTGGGGAAAACAACACACCTTATTGGTCCCTTAGTAAGGAAACTTAGTGCTGCAACAGCAAAGGCATTAATTGGGGGTGAACACTCGTTAGAAAAAAGAAAAGCATTTAGAAGATGATGCACATTGTGAAGAATGGCAGTTGGACAAGATGACTGCTGACTTCAGGGTTTAAAAATGACTTCACACGAAAGAAAACTGTACTATTGCACATTTGTGTAGCTTTTTTCATCAGTCATTCTGGTTTTATAGGCTGATGGCTGCTGGGAGTGAAAAGCTGAGATCCTAGTTTAAGCTTGCCAGAAGTGAGAGAAAACTGAGACAACTTCTGCAGGGGATGGTAGCCATATTTAAAATGTGTTGCAAATGTGTCTTAACACATAGACTTGGAGTGACTCAAACTAAGAATTTGTGTTTTCTTTCAAATTGTTTTGTCTTCAATAACTCACCAGCCTAGTGAGACTGATTCACTGAATTTACCCAACATGAGGTTTCAAATGGCTGCTTATAAACAATAAAATAAATACATTTTAGGAGGAGAAAACTCTTTTTCATTAAATCAGTTAGTGGTGAGGAGCAGCTGCAGCCAAATTTCCCCCTTAACAGATGTAATCACACTAGTTTTGATGAAATGTGAGAGTCCTGCTATGCAGGTGACTGATGCCAATATGGAAACATTGTACCATCACGTATGCACATAGATGTACATCTGTCATATTCTATGTCCCTCTGGTCCCCAGCCCCCTCCTGTTCACTCCAGGTTCTCCTTGTGTGTTTCATCATCATCCACAGCTTTCTCTAGGCTTCCCTCAGGTTTCCTTCTAGTCTCTCCCTGGTAATTCCTATTTTATATCAGTCCTTCTCATCCCTCTAGTTGTTAGTTGTTTATATTTGCCCTTAGTCTTTAGGTTTAGTTACTCCGTGTTTTATAGGTTAATGTTATCTTCCCTTTTGCTCAGTTCTAGTCCCTCATTTAGTTTATTGAATGCGCCTGCCTTCCCTCCAGTATCTCACTCGTCACACCTGTCACCTGTTCCCCTGATTACCTTCCTCTGTGTTTTAAAGCCCTGTCTTGTCCCTCTGTGTTTGTCGGTTCATTTTTGTTGTCAGCATGTTTTGTTTCCCCCGTGTAAACCTGAAACTCCTGCTCAGTTAGTGACCTTCTGAATCTTTCGTTTGTTCCTGATGCCTGGCCTGGCTTCCTTTCTGTGATTTTTGGATTATATTTTGGATATTATTTCCCAAATAAAGGATTCTACCCCTTTTTTTTTCAATTACACCTGCCTCATGTCGTCTGGTGCTCTGCATCTTGGGTCCTACTCCTCCTGCTCCGAACCTGGCAACATCAACAAACGTAATAATAATAACAATAATTAAGTATCTGGTGTTAACTGAAATTAAATTATTCCTGCACACTATGTCTCACCAACACCTTCTGCAACACGATAATTACAACGCCAGAGGGGAATGAAAATTCATTAATTATGTTCAGATGAATTTCCTTTGGCAACCTTTCGTGTGTGTGTGTGTGTGTGTGTGTGTGTGTGTGTGTGTGTGTGTGTGTGCGCGTGCGTGCGTGCGTGCGTGCGTGCGTGTGTGTGTGAGTGAAAGGTCAGCACTCAATGCAAATCCAAAATGGAATCGCTGAAAGAGCGATGAATATTTCTGTGGATGTTGATGCTTCAAGCAAACGTCCTGCTGGAATCGGATGCAAAGAGTTGCAGCAATTAACGAAATTTGTAGAGTTGAGAAGACACCTGATTACACGATTCATAAAAGAATAAACCAAACAGTGGGATTTAATTAAATCCACGTGGAGTTTTGTGTTGCAAAGTTATTTTAAAGATCCTGACATTTATGTAGATTCATTCACTCAAACCGGATTACAGAATCGTTTATATAAACCTGTTTACGTGCACAATATTGGTTAGATTTTATCATAAAAAAGGTGTTTCTAAGCTTCATGTGGAATGTTCACATCCAAATTTAGGGAAGTTTCAGCTTTTGATGTGAAAAAACTCAACTGAATACATTTTTTTTAAATCCTTTTTTGCTGTTACTTTACAGTAACAATAGAAAGTTTTTTAAACTTTAGGCTAGAGAATCAACATTGATCTTAGTTATTGCTGGGTTAGAAACTTGACCTGATTCGTATTTGACACCTGTCTGCAACCCAGATACTGGGGGGGTGGGGGTGGGGTGGGGTGGGGGGGGCTTACTGTGACAGTGACGTGTCTTCACCGTGGGGGTATTGGGAGCTGTGGCGGGTCAAATCTGTGTGTCTGACGCTCAGTGCGTGAGAGTAGGCAGCACTGGTTAGCTGTAATGCTAGGGGTTAGCATTTCCAGTTTGCCAATCTTCAATAATAAGCAGAAGAAGACAAAAAATAAGAAGTTTGCTTTAACTGTTGGCATAATGGCGTAGCCTGGAAGTAAACGTAAGAGAGCAATGTCTTTGTAGTCTAATCAAAAAGCTAAAACCGGATTGGACATAGGTGCAGCCTACACTAGTTTGAGGGAGCTGAAGGAGGCTACAAAATCACTGACTGATGGTGACCTGGCTTTGTTGTTACTGGACTTGTAAGTAATAATATTTTGGTCCAACAATGTGGATCTTTTTACTTTGTGGTTTATTATAGTTTTAGTGGGCTCATCTTAGTGTTAGCTCGTTGTTAGCGCTATAGCTACAGCAGGCTGCAGCCGGGTTGTTTACATATTAATTTAAAATTCTAAACATTGTTTCTATTTTGGACGTGAATATATTCAAATCTAAGTCAACTCTGGACTCTCTCAGTTATTTTAAAACCAACCCGGATTTCTGAATTAAGAAAAACACACTGGCTGCGTAATCTGACATCAGGTTCTAGTAAACTGTTAATTAATTAAGACTTTAAATAATCTTTAAATCGTTGGAGTGTGCTTACATGTAATGGCTTCAAAAAGTTACCTCCTGAGTAGCACTGCTTTAGTTGAGTTTAGCTCTAAAACACTGCATACAAACAATCTTGATTTTACTGCTGTAAGTTGAATGTTTTCTTTAATTGTGTGTCAGTGCAACATCCAGAATGTAAAATAGAAGAATGTGCCTCCAAACCTGGATGGACACATCACTGTAGGACCCTCCGATGACTCCAGAGATGGCCAGTGGGACCTCATTCTGGATGGGCCTGGAGCCATCTGGGCAGATGAAGCCTGGGTCGTGAACCTTCGTGAGGGATGCCCTGACAAAATCTAGAGACTGCTCCAGAGCGTAAGTGTCCTTGGAGCAGGTGTCCAGAATGTGGGCGCCCAGCTGAAGTCCAGGAAGAATACGGTCACTGGAGTTAATCTCATCAAGCGCCAGCAACATGGCCTCCAGTCTCTGGATTCCTCTCTGTTCATTGATCTTCCCACAGTCCTCTGTACCGTCACCTTTTTCGTGCACAGGGAACAAGCCTCCGATCACCAAATCCCCGTCTATGATGATCTCACGCTTGGCTGTAGGTGGTAATCTGGAGATGCTCGGCAGGACTCCCGACATCAACATCTCCATCAGGAACATCTGGAAAGGCCAGTAAAGGGCAGAACCGGCCCGTAACTCGGTGCAGAACACTGCATGCTGCATGTTGTCAGCTGGTTTAGCAGGCAGAAGAGGAGATGGGTTCACAGAGGCTGAAGGCAGATTAATTTCAGGACTTCTCTTAAAGAGTGCAGCATGTCTGATAATCTCTGAAAACAAAAACAAAACATAAATGGAAACATTGTGGAAATCTGCAGAGCTGTAAAAGGGTATTCAGTGCATAGATGATCTGAAAGGAATTTTTCATTAATAAATTGCCTTTTTATGTACTCAAGTTATGTCTGATGTTGAAATGTGTTTGCTGATTAAAACAAGAAAACTGTAAAGCACCAAATTTGTCTCTGAATAAAACACAAAGAACAGGTAAGGCACTTCTTCTGGAATGTTTTATAAGTTTTAAACATTTCTTTAGTTTTGTTTTTATTCTTAGTTTCCACTGTGATTATTATGTTGTTCATTTCAGTGTTTTTCTGTTTCTCTTTGTGCCCATTGCCTTTTTCAAAGATCAAGTTCACTGCGAAAACGAACTACTTGTTGTGAAGTATGATCAGCCACTCTGAGTTCTGCCACGACCTCCAGCCGGTCTCCCCCCTCCTGGGACTCCAGCTCCCAACATCCCCCTGGCTGGAGTCACCCATGTCATCAAAACGCATCCATGTATAGGAGTCAGCCCACCAATCAGTACTCAGTCATCGATTCACCAGATCCAAGCCCGAGACCCAAGCTTCCCAGCTCTACACCCATCCACTTAACTCTAGTTAGTCCAATCTTTTCTTCCTGGAACATCATGGTGAACCTGTTCCCTTTAGGGCTTCGTGCTGATGTTCCCAGATTAACCGCTTGTCTGCAATTCCCAGCGTTCACACTTCTGTGTTTGGCTTTTTCATCCACGCTAAACCTCAACTCTTGCTCATTCCGTCTCAGTCCTAGTTCAGATCTGACAATTTCCTTCTTTAGTCGCCGATAGAAAATAAACGGGGAAGTGCTCGGGTCACAAAAAGCCAGACAGATCTACGTCACACTGAAAACTAGCATTCATGGACTCCAACATCTTGGCTAATGACCAGGGAAGGTAGTATTTATTTTTGCAATCGGGAGAGAGCAGAGCATGTCTTGAACTGTTAGCATTAGCAGTTCCACAACATGACCACACTCCTTCAGGCTTGTGTTATTTGTGAAGATAAAACATCAACGCTGCAGAGTGAACGGAGGCAGTGGAAGAGTGGTGTGGCTCAGAGTTCAGATGTTAAAATATCATGAATATTAATGAGTAAAACTCCAAATCCTGTCATTCTTTGTTCATGTAATTCAGCATTGTGTTTGCAAGTTTGGTCAAACTTCTAAAACCCAGTAAGACACAGATTAGTCTAAAGGCCAGCGTTTCATATAGAAACTTTCTCTCTCAGAAGTTTCTCATCTTTTTATTGATTTTTAACTGACCAGAGCTTCTCTCTGCTTATTCCAATCGATATTTATTGGAAAAGTTAATACCAAGTCTTTCATTTAGTCGAGAACCCCAACCTCAACTATGGATCGAGTGACGTTCTAAAACTAAAGTAGATTTGCATTTGTTATCATCAGTATTATCAGGTGAGGATACAACAGCGTGAAGGACCCACTTAAGGGTCGCTCTTCACACTGATCACATCTAACATTTAGAGCACGGTGAAGTTTCCAAGCTCACAACGGAAATATCACATAGACAGCAGTTCACCTCAGTGGCTGGGGTTGCCATGGAAACATGATGGGTAAAGAAAAAAATAAGGGTGGGACTGCAGGAAAAGTGGGCAGTGAGACATGTATGCTAATGTAGCATGATATGGTGTGAGGCTACAGGTCTGGATCTCACCAGGAGTTGTTGTGGTGCTCGGATCAGGATTGGTCCCAGCAACGTAAACACACACACACACCAACCACTTCAGCACAATTATTTTATGTAGATCCACACACAGACTGTGTACTTCTAAAATGAGCTGCAAGCCATTTTGGGGCCATTTCTGTCAACATATTTATCACAGGGAATGCCAGCGGCGTTTGTAGCACCAGGAAAGGTTTCAGAGTCTGGTTTGGACTTTTTATTTTGGACATAGCAAAGCTTAAATGCATCTCTGCTTTCATTTGTTATGCTTTGCATTCCATTTCTCTTCTCTTAATTCATATTAAGTTTAAAATTTGATCTAGTCAAAAACTGTCCAGCATCACCAGCTACCTTCCTCCTACCTGTGATTTTTATCCATCCTGAAAGTGTCCTGTTTCCTGTGCTTGCATAGGCAGAACACCATCACAGTGGAGGGATGCAGAGGTTGGACACAAACCCACCAGCTTCTGCAGCCACACACACAGATAAGGCCATGTGTGTGTGTGTGTGTGTGTGTGTGTGTGTGTGTGTGTGTGTGTGTGTGTGTGTGTGTGTGTGTGTGTGTGTGTGTGTGTGTCTTTTGCAGTGACATTAAAGAACGTGCCGTGACAATCCAAGAGGAGCATCAAACAACAAAAGAAAAGGAGGAGAGGGAGAAAAGTGTAACAAAAGCGGAGCGTCTCTGCAGATTAATATTACATCAGGTTGTGGGTGGGAGTCCTCATGGCGCACTGAAGAATCCACAACCGGCTGTTCGTCTGAGAAGGATCACATGAGATAATGCATGAGCTTGTCATGTGGAACTTGTCTCAGATCTGCTGTGAGTTCTGCAGGTTGACGCCGCCGCCGCAGGTGCACCACTTTATCCTATTTATAGAAACTAAAGGTGAGGGAATAACTTAAAGAGTTCAGCATTAGAAATCTAATTGCTCCTCAATGTTGTCTACAGGTGCAGATGGCTGCAAACTCAGGGTCACAGTGTGAATTAATGGTCCAATAAGAAACAGTCAATTAGGCTGACCTGTACAGAATCTGGGCTAAGGTTGGAAGTCCAGGAGAACCTCCCAAAACTCTAAGAAATAAGTGCTAGAGCGATTCACTTCATCTTTAATATTTAAAACTTATTAAACTGGAGTTGTGTTACAGACAGCTTTTATCAGGTCTCCATAACATCATTAAAGCCATCTTGAAGCCGCAGTCACACTCCCACCCGGCAGCCAATAGAGTTGCTCGCTCTCCAGCTGTCTGCGCTCAATATTCCCTCTGAAAGGCAAGTTCAAAAAGAAAAGGCAGTGTTGCTTCTCTCTGCTTTGAACCATCAGCTAATGCACTCCTGCTCCTGCCGGGCACAGAAAGGATTTCTCTAAGACACTGTGAGAACACCGTTTCCTTATTGTTCTACCCTTCTCTACTAAATGTAACATCTGTGTGAGATTTGACTCACTGGAGAGAGTCAGTGGTGATAGTGGTAAATATCCACAGCTTCATTTATGATGGAATATTAGATTTATGTGTCCAAAGGGACAGATCTGTTGGTGTAGTTGATCAGATTAGAAACCCATCTTGTTGTGATTTGCACTAATTGCCCTTCATTGCATTTCCCAAGTTTTAAACCTGATTTAGCTCGTGCACGCATGTATTAAATGCTTGAGCATGAATGATATGACATTTAATTAAGTGCTTGAATCGCAGCACATAAATCATTCAGCCCGTTGAGTGGCGGAAGCCAGTAAATGGATAAAAATCCAAGCATGGGTTAAAAGAAGGGGAATTTTTTCTGCACATAGCAACATTTCTGCATTATTAAAAAGTAATTAAAAAAACACACACACACAAAACAAAAGGATGAAAAACACTGCAGCCTCCAGGACTCCTCTGAGGATTTCCATCATCCTAATCTCCAGCATGGACTCAGTTTATCCCTACACCTGGACTTGTCAGATGCAGGAATTAGGATGCCTCTGTGTTGACCAGCTGCCAGCTAATTGCATTTGAACACGGATCAAATGCATAATTTGATCAGAACTGCACAGGGAAACTTGGCTGTCTGCTTGTTTAACCCTCAGACACTACATTTCAGTGCAGGAATATCCCTCTTGGACATGTATGCAAATGACACCACACACACTGCAGGACTATGGCAATTTACAAAAATATGAATGGAGGTTATAACAGTTATCTTTAGATATTAGTTTTAAGTTTAAAATAGGCTGCATTCATGGTGTGTTGATTTTTGTTCCATTTGGTTTAAAATGTCAGAATCTAACTGATCCAAAGTGAAATATTTCTTCACATTTTGCCAACAATCTTGATTTGGTAAGATCATTTTACATCTGCTGGAATGTATCATGGATACATGTTCAAACTGCTTTGTTGTGCCTTGTTAAATTTATGCTGGCTGAAGAGAAACATGTGTAAAGTTGTTTTTAAAGATTAATTAATTAATTGTGCAAATAGAAGAATTGTTTAGGTTTTCAAAACAATCAGATGAGAAGAATGGCGCGTAAAGTACACCGCTTCAGGCAAACGTCCTTCTGGTTCAGGTTTCTTACCTTGCTGAAGACCGATCTGCACAATCCGTGGACTCCACACAACCCCGCGGAGAGCTTCAGGAGACCAGAGGAACCCAGATGTTGCTCACTGCGAATATGTTTGCCGTGCAGCTGTTTGGATCTGTCCTTGGTTCTGAAGCGTGGCTCTCATTGGGCGCGTAAACTCCTCTCGGTGCCCTCTGGCGAACTTGTGCTTCCCAGACTGTCCACCTCTTCTCTCTCTCTCTCTCTCTTTCAACAAACCTCGGTCACGATGCGCGCACAGCCACGGAGGAATCCGGCGATTTCACCTGCAGCTGCAATGATTCAAATAAAGACTAAAAACACATTTGATCACGCGATTAATGGGGAGCAACTTAAACAGTTCAACTTCCAAAAATAAAAAGGAAACTGAAACGATGCCAAACAAACAGCCACTGTCCTCTTCGGAGATGAGTGGACGCTCGGCTCTCACAGAAACCTGGAGAGGCTTTGTTCCAGCGACTCAGAAATAATGATGACATGAATGTGCAGAAAAATGCAGCATGCTGGAGTAAAGCGTAGAAACTAGAACAACTGTGCGTAAAACACCCCTCGGAACACCCGCGTTTAACTTCTGATGCGTTTTTTTCCTCCAAAGAGGCGCACCCAGGGCTCCTGTTAATAAACCACAGCGGAAGCAGAGATAAATGTCTCCAAATGCATCACACGAGCTGCAGTTTTCTCCTCTTCAGCTAATTTTAGACAGATGAGAAAAGAAAATCTACTTTTTTACCACTCTGTGAAGGCTAGCCAGCTCCTCTTTCACCTCCATCTCATTAAAACTGAATCACACTTCAGCTGAGAGGCGCAGCTCTTAACCAACTTGAGAGGCAGTTTGTTTTCACTGGGAAAGATCACACACACACACACACACACACACACACACACACACACACACACACACACACACACACACACACACACACACACACACACACACAATTAAAGAAAACCCTTTACATTAAGTGAATGTTCCAAGAGGTGTTTCCTAAATTGTGCTCCTTAACAAGATGACATCATCAGCAACATGCTGCGCAGTTAGCGCAGAAAAGGAAGATCTGCTGATGATTGCCAAATCACAATTAAAGCTGAAAACACTAAATAACTTCATAATTTTCTACAAAATCAACTCCATTGCATCTCCAGCACCACACGAAAACACAACCAGCAAGTTTAAATGCCTCATTGTGGGGAAAAAGGAAAGGACCTTTCCTCAGTGGCAATTAAAATGAAGAGCGGGTGCAGCTTGTTGCGTAATTTCTCCCCAGCTAACACAAAGAGACCAATTTTCTCCAGTAAAAAGGGATTGTAGTTTATATTGCAGCAGTTGAGGGCATGTGGGTGGTATGCAGAGTTTAGATAGGAACATGCCAATTAATGTCAGATGAAATTACAGAGGAGAGAAGGGAGGTGCAGCATGCCAGCGGTCAGTGCGCATCAGTCTGAACGCTGCTCTCCTGTAGCGCAGACCATGGACGTAGCTTTGACTTAAGAAATGTGTGTTTGTGTAAGTGTGTAAGTGTGGGTGGGTGGGGGTGGGGATGGGGCAACCGGCATATAAGGACTGAGGGGGGGGGGGGGGGGGGGGGATCTGTACAATAAGTATACTAAAATATGTATAAACTACAGCCTAGAGGCTTTTTTATCTAATGTCAGGAATTCAGAAATGTCAAGTGCACAGGTGGCAGAAACGACCAATCACACTTTAGCAAGTATGAGCAGAGCCAATAAATGAGCTTGCAGACGGTTCTAATGGGAAACAGGCTTCAACACAAGAAGTTGTTTTCTGCTTTGACCCAGTGCTCAACCAGTGTCTATTTAATATAGATAATATGGACGGTAAAAGTGCAGGGGACAAAAATTTACTTTGGAAAAAGTGGGGGGCACATGTCTTTTTGTGGGACATGGGTGGAAAAGGTCAAAGAAAGGGTCTAGGAGGTATCGGCACCACCTCAGCTGGCTCTGTTTGATGATGAGGAGCTGCGGCTGTAACCGACTCGAAGCTCACCATCACCTGTGGAGTGAATAAATGTAAGAGAATTAATTCAGAAACAACGAAACAATTATAAATAATCTCATGAATTTGATCAGATCACAAGGATTTTTATATAAAGAGAATGTAAATACTCCTGTTGTTTCTCCGCACTGATTTAAGTTCATATCTTAAAGCTCCTGCCTTAAACATGTTTTCTAATGAAACAGAAAACTTTTCAGCATTTCCTCCTAGACCTCATCCATCTCGTTTAAATGTTTCCTCTGGGAACTTAACCCCATCTTCAGAGTGATCAGCATTTAGATTAAAACTGTAAACACATCTTATAGATCATCTCATTTGTGACCGATTAGATGTGTAAAGGCTCAGCGTTTTGTCCATTAACAATATGAGGCTGGATTACATTAGATTAATTATCTGAAGCTGCGGGAGCCTGGTCTGGTTTTATTTGGATTTGATTTGGTGTGTTTCTAAGAAGAAGAGAAGGAAGCTGCAGTAGCAAATGGCTGCTTGTCAGCCAAATCAGTCTAATGAACAGTTGACAACTGAAGAGTTCTGTGTTATTCTCAACGATTAGTCTGAAACATGATGCTTTGGTATGCAAATGCATCATGCGCAGGAGTTCCCAAACATGCAAACGATTTTCTGTTTCGACTCCACTCTGCAGACCAGCTAATCCCAAAAGTTCAACCAGGTGGTTTATTCCATCGTGGAACATCCTGATGCAGGTGTCTTTACGGCGCCAACAAAGGTCTATAGGACATTTTCCTCTGAAAAGTAAAAGGTGTTCAAGCTAAATGCTATTTATCCAAGTTAATATCATGATAGGACTTGCTCATCAAAAGGTACATGTTCGTCTTTCTGAGTTTGTTTCTGTGCAGCTTTACGAATCCCCAACTCCTTTTTCTCTTGTACAGATGATTTGGCTCCCCAACTCCTTCTGGTAAAACTATTCTTGGTTTAAATGATTTGGGGGGGATGAGATTACTGCTTTTCACAGTCTTTTTTGTGCACCTGCCTGAGTGTGTGTGTATCACAAACTAAATGAAATCAGAGTGCTATCACTGGATGGTCGTCCACAGGTTGTCTACTTTTTGACGACAATCCAATTCAACATGATGATCACAACTAATCAAAAACAGCTGAGATTCTGTTCACTTTACAGATAATAGTATAAAATCTGGTGGAAGCTGGGAAGTTTACCTGGTTCAACTGATGCACTGCAGCTGCTGATCGGGAAAGGCTTGAGACGACAAGCTTAACTATCCGAGTTAGCTGCATATATACACTCAACAAAAACATAAACGCAACACCTTTGTTTCTGCTGCGATTTTTCATGAGAAGGACTTAAATATCTAAAATTCATTCCAGATACACAATATTACCATTTCTCTCAAACATTGTTCATAAATGAGTCTAAATGTGTGATAGTGAGCACTTCTGCTTTACTGAGATAATCCATCCCACCTCACAGGTGTGCCACATCAAGATGCTGATCCGACATCATGAGTAGTGCACAGGTGTACCTTATACTACCCACAATAAAAGGCCACCCTGGAATGTGCAGTTTTGTCTCACAGCAAAATGCCAAAGATGCCACAAGCATTGAGGGAGTGTGCAATTGGCATGCTGACAGCAGGAATGTCAACCAGATCTGTTGCTCGTGCAATGAATGTTCATTTCTCCACCATAAGCCGTCTCCAAAGGCGTTTCAGAGAATATGGCAGTACATCCAACCGGCCTCACAACCGCAGACGACATGTAATCACACCAGCCCAGGACCTCCACATCCAGCATGTTCACCTCCAAGATCGTCAGAGACCAGCGACTCAGACAGCTGCTGAAACAATTGGTTTGCATAACCAAACAATTTCTGCAGAAACGTCTCAGGGAAGCTAAACTGCATGCTCGTCGTCCTCATCAGGGTCTTGACCTGACTCCAGCTCGTCGCCGTAACAGACTTGAGTGGGCAAATGCCCACATTCGATGGCGTCTGGCACGTTGGAGAGGTGTTCTGCTCACGGATGAATCTCGGTTTACATTGTTCAGGGCAGATGGCAGACGGCGTGTGTGGCGTCGTGTGGGTGAGCGCTTTGCTGATGTCAAAGTTGCGGCTCGAGTGGCCCATGGTGGTGGTGGGGTTATAGTATGGGCAGGCATCTGTTATGGATGAAGAACACAGGTGCATTTTATTGATGACATTTTGAATGCACAGAGATACCGTGATGAGATCCTGAGGCCCGTTGTTGTGCCGTACATCCATGAACATCACCTCATGTTTTAGCAAGATATTGCACGGCCCCATGTTGCAAGGATCTGTACACAATTCTTGGAAGCTGAAAATGTCCCAGTTCTTGCATGGCCAGCATGCTCACCAGACATGTCACCCATTGAGCATGTTTGGGATGTGCTTGACCGGCGTATACGACACTGTGCACCAGTTCCCACTAATATCCAACAACTTCGCACAGCCATTGAAGAGGAGTGGACCAACATTCCATAGGCCACAACTGACAATCTGATAAACTCTATGTGAAGAATATGTGTTGCACTGCATGAGGCAAATGGTGGTCACACCAGATACTGACCGGTTCTGAGTCCCCAGACCCCCAATAAAGCAAAAAAACTGCACATTCCAGGGTGGCCTTTTATTGTGGGCAGTATAAGGTACACCTGTGCACTACTCATGATGTCAGATCAGCATCTTGATGTGGCACACCTGTGAGGTGGGATGGATTATCTCAGCAAAACACAGGTGCTCACTATCACACATTTAGACTGATTTGTGAACAATGTTTGAGAGGAATGGTAATATTGTGTATCTGGAATGAAGTTTAGATCTTTGTCCATCTCATGAAAAATCGGAGCAGAAACAAAGGTGTTGCGTTTATATTTTGTTGAGTGTAAAACACAAACATACGCCTTCATAAAAAGCTTTAAAGAAAATATTTAATAATTTTTTATTTTTGGGGGTATTATATGATTTCTGGAGTTTGTTCAGAACATCATAATTTTGAGAACTTCTGTATTAGAGCAGAGAAATAGCTAAAAGATGTAAGCTAGTGGCTCTCAAGGACCAAGTTTGGACACCAAGACCCAAAATATGCAAGACAGTGGACACTGGGGACCACCGGGCACCTTTATAGTGGACCCTGGGTCCAAATGCAGCAAGGCAGTCAGAAGGCTATTTCTGTGAAAGGAACTTTTATTGTTTTAAGAAAAAGCTGAAGGCACTGAAGTGAGAGTATATTAAATAAAATAAAAAAGACAAGAGTCAACAGCTGCGATGAGAAAAAAGAACAGCCCAAAAAATTCTAAGAGAGAACAAATGCAAGGAGCTTTTACTTTGAAGGAGCTGATGACTGATGTAATTCTGGTGTAATTAGTTATTAGGATCAGAGCAGGAAGCAAAATAAATGGGAAAAAACAGATATAAACATGCATGAAGCAATATAATCTATTCAAAAATGTAAATGAAGAAAACAAGATTTTGAAAAAACTCAAAAGTCATAAGTCAAATATGCAATTTACACAAACCCAGCAGTATGTGTGGTTAACTCTTAATTTCAATCCATATTGCTGACAAGTCTTGTTGAAATTTAAGAGAAAAAAAGCAAAATGAATATTTAACTCTGAATAAAATGCAGAAAGTGACATGCAGATTTTCAGTGTTTTGAGTATCACCAGTCATGAGGAAATTGCTCAAGGTAACGTCTTTTTTCCACTGGAATAAAAACAGAAAAGAACAAAGAGAAGTGGGCCAGATGATCAAAATGACAGCAGC